CAAGGGATTTATTGGACGATACTCAGTACAAGGGACGTCTAGCTGGCACGAGAGCTCATTCAAGACTGAAGCGCGTCGGCTTGGTTGTTGTGGCGTTACTAGGGACACACTGCGAGAGCCTTGGGCGAGACTAGACTGACTCGAGGCGGACAGTCATGAGAATGACAGCAGTGCGTTAACTACTGGTTTAAGGCCCTAACATTACAATATGATGGCTTTCTTTGTATAACTAAGGTCCATAGGGTCATCGTCACAGGGCAAGCTATTGGCAGGACTGCATGGCCTACCCTGGGGTATAGCTTCAGAGATAAAGAGCCTTTCTATGTCACTCGTCTGGACCTCTACATCTAAGGCACTATGATCCCAGGATAGGCTAGTGCTAGTTGCAATGCTCTCAGAAATAGGAAGGGTATCAACCATAGGAGAGAAATCGATGCTGTCATTATCAATGATGGAGCTTATAGACTGGCTCCATTGCTTTACACCTCCCCAACTTGAGGGGTCCTGGCCATCTTTGTCCCAGCCTTCGTCTCCCCAGTCTTGGTCACTACCCTTCCCCTCATCCTTACCGCCGCCGCCTTCGTCCCCGCCGTAGTCATCGTCGTCACCCCCTCTGCCTCCTCCCCCGCCCTCGCTCCCACCATGCCCACCGCCTCTGCCGCCGCCATTGCCACCATTGCCGTCCTCATCGTCATCGTCGTCATTGTCGTCATTGTTATTGTTGTGTCCGCCTGGCCCTGGATGGTCATCGTCATCATCCCCGTCAGTATGGGACTCATCGCTATCCAGCGTGCCCGGATCTAGTTTTCCGCCGTCGGGAAAACAAGAGGCTCAAGTCCTTTGCTGGCTCTGACAGCATTAATGACACCTTGCATCTCCGGAGTTATGGCCTTGCCCAGGGCAGTATAAGATGCTACGAGTTCGTTCATTGTAGGACAAGACGACGTGCTTACACCGAAGATACTCATGTCTAGTTCTGCGTCAATATCAGCTGTTGTATATTGTGCACATAGCCTGGCCCATCCCTCGTGGACGTCCTCATACATACCCATATTTTCCTCTGAAAAGGCAGAGGCTTTGGCAAGCTTGCTTTTAGGGTGTACTTTTAGTATGAATGTCCCTAGTTGCCATGCAATTGAAGGGGGACCATCCAGTTTGATTTGGGCGCTTCCCGTGAGATAGTAAGCACCCTCATGGTACTTCGCACCTCCTTGCTCTATGGTCTTACATGTGTTTGCAAAAGCAGGGATGTCATTAAACCCAGGCATAACAGTCATAATTGTGCTGTTGGACAATCTTTTTAGGGCCTCCTTGCATGCACCGTGCTTTGCAGTACCAGCAGGGTAAGTTGACTGCCTCAGCTTAACATCATCGGTAATGCTCCAATCTATCCCCGTCATGGCGGGGTGCTTGCCATTGTTCTTGACGTTAGCGAAGCCAATCTTCAGCAAAACTAGTCGAGTGCTGATCCAATGCCCTACCGAATGGATGTCTCCGGTTGCCTCATCGGAGCTCCTGGCATTGTCACCTGCTCCCCAGGTGAGATCATACACTTTCTTCACATAATGGCATGCTAACCTCCCGCCTGTATGGTGATTAGTCTGGTAATACGTGACTTTGGTACTTACCATGAGCAGCATAGCTTCATGGACCCTCAACATGGCTAATTTGATCTTTTCTCTAAATGTCCTGTCGTTAGCCCTCTGAGCTATATCTGCAAGTGGTGCAGCATCAAAAATCACGTCACTATCGGGTTGAATGTTATCTTCTGACGCTTCTGCCTTGCCGACGCCTCCATACATCTCTATGGCAGCTCCGCACGCAATGGTCATGAGCTCTTGATTGCCCAGTGCGTAAGTCGCTGAAGAAGCAGCATATGCTATCCTTTTAGCCTGGTCCCTATACTGAGAACCTAGCGGATGCAGCTTCTTTTCTGCCGGCAAGGACTTGTCAGTTCCCACAGCCAACCCGACTTCATAGTCACCGTTAATAGACGGCAACTCTAAGGTGAAGTCATCTATGGTCGTCATCGTGTAGTCACAGTTCGGGTATTATTCACATGCCGAGAATCCCTCACAGTCGGGATTAAAAAATAGAGCAACGCTCCTTATTGGTTCCAATTCGGGTGGCAATACAGTTTGCTCAGGAACCAATTTCTTCACCAACGACAAAATAATATGGCGTATAATGATACCATACACCAATACTTAAGCTTCTTTCTCAAGTTTTAAGTTTAGGATGTGCAAGGGAAATGGTGCTACTTTGGATTCCATAGACATTGTAAATGTCTTTAATGACAGCAGCTGTGAAACACCTTTCTTGATCTGAAAGAATTGACAGTGGGGCTCCAAACACAGAGAAAACATCACGAATGAGGACTTCAGCAATTTCTTCGGAAGATTGTGATTTGATGGGGATAGCAAAAGGCCAACCAGAAAAGGCTTCCACAGCAACAAGTATGTACTTGTACTTTTCTTCAGTTAAAGGAAGTGGACCACAGATGTCAGTGTGCCACTTGCCATGAAGTACACCTTCTCTGAAAATTTGTAAGGGAATTTTCGACCTTTTGTGATGTTTAAATCTTGCACATTTCTCACACTTTGACACAAATGAAGCAACACCTTCCCACATTCCAGGCCAATAGAAAACCTTATGGAGAGCAGCGAAAGTTTTGCTTATTCCAAAATGATTTCCTGCTGCTGCATTTTCATGATAAGACTTGATGGAGTCCACTACATGTCTAGAAGGAAAAACAAGTTGGAAACTGTCTTTGTTTGGATCAAGACTGGGGTGTTCGAGTCTTCGATACATAACTCCATTGTGCAAAACAAGAGACTTGAAGTGTAACCAAAGAGATCTTGTTCGTGGGCCATAGCCAACAACATCTTGAAAGGTGGGTCTCAATTTATCTTGTAGGCCTAGAATGATAGGCATTAATTCTTGGTCCAAAAGTTGATCTTTCTTAATTTGAACAGGTGTGAAATCAGGATTGGTTGCAATGGAAACCCAATACACCGACAATGTTTCTGGAGTGAGAAGTTTATCTTGCATTTCTAATTTTGTACATTTCTTGCAGTCACTGGAACAAGGACGATTTGGTCTTCTTGACATGGCATCAGATTCGACATTGTCGACACCTTTAATGTAGGAGATTGTGAAGCTGTTAGGAGCTAACCTGCTGATCCATCTGGCAAGAAGTCCGGAAGGGTTCTTAAAATTGCGAAGCCACTGCAAGGCTGCAAGATCCGTTTTGACTTCGAAAGGGGCACCAGCAAGGTAGTGATGAAAATGCTCCACTGCTTCTACTAGGGCAAGAAGTTCTCTGTGTGTTACACAGTAATTCTGTTGAGCAGGGTTGAGGACTTTAGACCAGTAGGCAATTAAAACCTCTTGATCTCCTTGTTTTTGTTTCAGGGCTGCTCCCAGTCCTGTAAGACTTGCATCCGAGTACAAGACAAAAGGACCTTTGGAGATGTCTGGTACACCCAGAAATGGAGCTGAACTGAGAAGTTTCTTGACGGTTTGAAAACTCTTCTCACAGTCACTGGTCCAGGCGAACTCAACATCTTTATGAAGTAACTTGTACAAAGGAGCTGCTTCAGTTGCCATGTTAGGTAAGAACTTGATGTAGTAGTTCACCATACCAAGCCAAGTACGCATTTCTTTTACATTTTCAGGAGCAGGCCAACATGTGATTTTGTCAATTTTCTTGTTAACAGCTCTATCTTGTACCGTTTTCGCGCTATGGGGCATTTCTTGGGCGAAAACAACGTGAAAAAGACAAAATCGTCTATTAAATCGTTGAAAAGGCTTAATGTCACAGAATTGTAAAGATAGTAATACTTAAACGACACATTACGGGTGGAACCACACCCTCTTTTGAGCTTAAGGGTCCCTAGATTATCCAGTTGCACTAATGAAAACCTTTATCGAACAGCAGACGTTTCATGTCCGTGATTTTTGAGTAATACGTCCCCGACAAATGCTGTCAGTATGTCTAATTTTGGTGCCGGAACGCCCTGTTCCCGTATACCGTCCCATTAGCTCGTCTCGGCGTAAGCGAAGTTGGCCAACCAGTTGGCCAACCAACCCATCCAACCTTACACGTAATCGACTTTCGACAAAAAAAAATTATTTCATTTTTTAAAAAGCACAAATGACGCCAAAATGAAAACCACGCAGTTGGGCACTGTTCCTAGGTGTATCCCTCACAACCTCTTGTCCCCCAGACACGACTTGGCATCAAAAGACACAACGCAACAAACAGCATCCAAGGCGACTTTGGAGGCTGAGACCTTTTTTGTCTCGGGTAACACGGGTACTCCCGAGGTCCTCAAGTGTTCTCAGGCAACCCGACAGTGCTGCCAACACACCGGGAGTCGAGATTTAAGCCCAGGAAAAAAGGGTCAGGGCTCAAAATCGGCCGAAAGCCTATCTCCGCCGTGATCTCGGCCGACTTTAGAGGCTGAGACCTTTTTAGCAGATGATACCTTAAATAGCTCTTGACTCAACATAATGAATATATACGTAACTTTAAGGTGTCAGCTAGCTTGTACTCTCGATAAGGGCAGAGAATCAAAGCGCATGACGTCACCCAGATGTATAAGGGGCGCGAGAAGTCGCCGGCCGGCCCCGCCCGTTCCCACCAACAATACCCAACAATACTGAGCCACGGATGCCGGCCTGCTGCCCCCTCTCTCTTCCTCTATGCCATGCCGCTAGTCCGTTGAATTGCAAGAAAGCAATTGCTATAAGTAAGAAACAGCCATAAACAAATAACAGCAAAATATGAGAGAAAAGTAGGGCACAGATATATCCTGAAATTTGTATCATCTGCTTTCACGATACGCCCCTCGATGTTGCTTTTTTTCCGAAAATTTTTAAACTTGGGCAGCTTAAATCGGTGCAAATCCTAGTCTTTATATGTCCTCTGCATTTTGTACGGTTATGTATCGCGTCCAGCGAAATTAATGTTCTGCATCGAAAGGCGTTGAATTTATTTGGACAAAAACTGTGTCAATAAAATCACCCTGAACGCTGCCAGTCCTAGTTGGTTTTCGGAACAGTCTTAGCATCTGCCACCCAGCATCCGTGAAGGTTTTCAGCTATGCCAAACGTTACTCTGAACCTGTAGGTTCCGTAAGGTATGATTGGAACGCTTGGGAAAGTCCAGCCCACTGCGGTGTCATTAACCTCGTAAACTCCCTGTAAATAGAAGCCATCGGAGTCTTTAGATTTATAACCCTTTTATAAGTGTAGCCACAACAGTTTATCATATTACTGTTTAGCCAGAAAAATAAATACGTTACATGTATGGCGATAGAGCACACTTACTGGTGGCCTTGGGCAGGCGCCTTCATCTTCTCCCTTTAATAAAAACTGCTTGAAAGCACTTGGGACATGCTCTTTGCAAACTGAACATGGACCCCTTTTATTAAAATTAAAGACAAAGGCGTTTTCCTTCCATTGATTGTTTGATCGAAGATCCACAACTATTTTCGTCTGTTACATCAAGGATTTCTTATGTAATAATCCATTTACATCTACTTGTAAGTGTTTGGGTGCCGAACACGTCGATTTGAAGTGAATTTGGAATGTCTTACCCAGCCGCGGTCATCAAAAGGCACAACCCCCGTCACATTGCCTGTCATGAGTTGTAACACTTTTGGTTTATATGGGTTGAAGTGAGAACCGCGCAGATACCATGTCCAAGGAAGCAGGCTACCGTTTGGTTCGCACATGTAAAAGCGTTCGCCATAAGCAATGTAAGGGCCCTGTTCAAAACATAGATGCAGAGCAAATTAAACGTGTCAAAAAATACAGATTTGTCAAAATGACACAATTTACGTAATGTCAAGTTAGCCATTACGTTGCAATGCCATTTCGAGAACCAGAAAAAAATATTAGCAATAGCTACCATCGCATTATCGCATGGTTAATTCAAGAAGCACCATATGGTGCTTTATATTTTACATAAAATATGGTCGATGCAACCTTATCGTGGTTGTGGGGACCAAAACTATGGTTTCCATCACGTTGTCATTGTTGTCTCAACCATATTTTATGCTGCTCCCTGAGCCAACCATATGATGGTTGCCTTTGCTAATCAGTTTTTTGGGTGGACAAATCCATGATGTTCTGGTCGTGAAGGCACATTGTTGACAAAATAGCCCAAATTTCGAAGGAACCTTGAAAAGGGTATTTTCTAACTTACAATCAAAGAGTTTATAACTTTGCGGTGGCTGCCCTCCTGGAACACGAGACATAGGAGCGCGAGTTGGGATGCCAGGCTGGATCCAGTGTTGCGGGTTTTCATGTCTGCGACGAACCCGAACCCGAACCGATGTGGCTCAGGCGGGTCCAGTGAGAGCCAGTAGTCAGAAGACGCAATCTCGGTACCGCTTACACGACCACGCGTCCACGGGGCCGACGGTGACTGGGTGCTGCAGGCATGCGCGGCCAGCGTCCGGTCGGAGACCCATTGGCGTGCCAAACATGAAGACCCGGAACAAAGCAGAACTTGTTAGATTGGAAGCAGGATATCAAACAACAGACCCGTGTTAGAGCGAGAGAGAGAGAGAGAGAGAGAGAGAGAGAGAGAGAGAGAGATACTTGTTTTACCAGATGATGCATTTGTAAAATTGTACTCAACTGAAACTAGTAACAAATAAAATGTTACATATGTCAGACAAGCAGAGAGGTACAAGGCCTGGTCGCTGGCTTAGATCGGCACACAATTATTGAAGTGTAAATATTTAAATGTAAATTATATAAATATTTGTGCACATTCGGCTCGTGGATCCCCCACTGAAATACTTTACACAATAGAATATAATTCTTATTTAACTTGTATCATCTGCTTTCACGATCCGTTTCTGGACGAAACTTTTTGTCTCGGGTGCCACGGGTACCCCATCTGTTCGAAAGTGTTCTCGGGCAACCCGAAAGTGCTGCTATCACACCGTAAGTGGAAATGTGTGCTCAGGAAAAAAGGTCTCAGGGCTCAAAGTCGGCCGAAAGCTTATCTCCGCCGTGATCGTGGCCGATTTCAGATGCTGAGACCTTTTTTGTCTCGGGTGCCACGGGTACCCTGTTTTTTCGAAAGTGTTCTCGGGCTACCCGAAAGTCCTTCCAACACACCGGTAGTCGAGACTTGAGCCCAGGAAAAAAGGTCTCAGGGCTCAAATTCAGCCGAAAGCTTATCTCCGCCGTGATTTCAGCCGACTTTAGAGGCTGAGACCTTTTTTGTCTCGGGTGCCACGGGTACCCCGTCAGTGAAAGTGTTCTCGGGCATCCCGAAAGTCCTGCCAACACCAGGCCCGGACTGGGGGCTATTTGGCCCCCCCCTCAGGGAGGGGGGGGGGGGATTTTTACAAATACCAAAGACATTTTTTTCTAGCCTGAAAACCCTGCCCGTTTGTTCACCGATTTAAGTTGACGTTAATTTTGCGTGTCCATTTTTCATTTTCCATTAGTTTCCCCTGATTTCTAGACCCTTTCTTACTAAATTTCCCTGAGGTTTAAGCACTGTTTCTGTTGAAGTACAGTGGCAAACTAAACCCCTCCCACATTTTAGCGTGGCTGCAGAAACCCGTAAGTAGCCTTACTGCAGAACAAGATGGCGAGCGAAGCGAGCGCGAAAAATTTTGGTTAAAGACACCCTGCTTGGAAGTCAACAAGCAGGCCCGCCCTTCCGCCAAACGAAGTTGCCAGCTCCGCTTCGCTCCGCCGGCAACTCCGTTCGGCAGGGGCCGGGCCTGCTTGGCCTGCCGGCGGCGATGGTCGGGCCTGCGGCCCGACCATTTCTGTCACGCGATTTGCTGAAGAACATGATCGCATGATGAAGCGGGCCTTCGGCCCGCTTCAACCCGTCGTCTTTGAGTTTGCCCCGAAGACTAGAGAAAGGGCTGTAACGGTGAAGCACCGCGACTACAACCCACCCTTCTGCTTAGAAAACGTTTTTTGGGGGTGGGGGAGAGTTTCCTTTCTATTTTGCGGTTTTTAGGCCTTTCACTACAACTTATTGTTAACTATGGCAATTTTTAGCTTATTATCGTCAAAAAAGACCCTCTAGCACCTAGACGGTTAGAGATAGAGCAAAACGGACGAAATTTTCGCCCGCAGGGCTCTACTTTGACGAGTTACCCCTTAAAGAAACATAAAAAAAAAATTCTTTTTGGAAGAATTTTTGAACCTTCGATGCCCCCGTTCACACCCTTAGGGGTGGTTGCCAGGATTTGCCGTAGGCGTTTCGTTCTCTAGAAGTGGACCTTAAGATACCCTGAAAATTTCAAGTCTCTCTAGCGCATCTCCATCTATAGTGGAACAGACAGACAGACAGACAGACAGACAGACAGACACACACGAGGTCGTTTGCATAAGCCCGCTGGATAGCTTTTTCAAAGCAGAAGGGCGGGCTAAAAAGTGTGTTTGGCCTGAACAGCGAATACAATACGCTTCGCGTGGCAACACATAGCCACGCTACGCGTGGCCTCGGGCCACACCTCTCTTGGCCCCCGGCCCCCCTTGGCCCGTGGCCCCCACGGATTTTTGCCGTTCCCCGCCCGGGCCAGTCCGGGCCGGGCCTGGCCAACACACCGGAAGTGGAAATGTGTGCCCGGGGAAAAAGGTCTCAGGGCTCAAAGTCGGCCGAAAGCTTATCTCCGCCGTGATCTCGGACGACTTTAGAGGCTGAGATCTTTTTTGTCTCGGGTGCCACGGGTACCCCGTCTGTTCGAAAGTGTTCTCGGGCATCCCGAAAGTCCTGCCAACACACCGGAAGTGGAAATGTGTGCCCGGAAAAAAGGTCTCAGGGCTCAAAGTCGGCCGAAAGCTTATCTCCGCCGTGATCTCGGCCGACTTTAGAGGCTGAGACGTGGTCTGGCGTACATCTACCTCGGTTCACTCACAACTAATTTTTTCAATAGCAATAAGGTAGGTGATACTCGGGCGGTGGACCGCCACTCCCAGAAGATCTGGAGCCGGAAAAGATCGGCATGAACCCCATTTATTGTAGGGTCATGGCTTTCGTGCCACGAGAACAGCTGTTCGGCCACGATGGGGTGCCTGACCCTCTTCAGGTAAGTTATGGTAATGCAGTTGCCCCAGCGGTTGCCCCAGTCTCCACTCGTTACCCGAGGGGGTAGTCACTTGGGTTCGTAGCGTTACGGGCTATTTCGTGGTATTTCTCCTGCCACTTCGGTTATTTCTCGCCCATTTTGGATTATTTCGTGGTATTTCGCAGTATTTTGCGGGTATTGCGCGACTATTTCGCATCTATTTGAGGGAAAATGTACGAACTATTTTGCAAGTGATTTCCCCCTCGTTACCCTGCTGTTTTGCCAGACTCAGTATATCAATAAAGTTTACTTTGACTTTGCAGGTGCAGTTGCAGCAGCCAGCCCAGGCGATGCAGCCGCCACCACAGCGTCGCCAGCCAGCGCAGCAGCAGCAGCCAGCGCAGCAGCATCTTGGTGGTGTAGGGCACCGACCGGGAGGGGGTCGACGACTCCAAGGTCATCGTTGACCAATCAGCGTTCAGGAGAAAACAGATCGGGCAGTCATGCTTTTCTCCTTTAGGTTCCGGTTCGCTTGCAGCGGAATACCCTATGACAGTGTCCCAGGTCGGAGCCCATGATGGATCGTTGAACGCCACTTATTGTTACCTTTTTTCCCAACCATTTCCGCCGCGTGCCCCCCCCCCCCCCCCGGGGGGAGTACGGCAATTCCGAGAAGCCTCGTTTTTCTTGAGCCCTGTGACATATTCACGCATGACGTGGATTTATGGCGGCTGGACGGTGTGCTTTGCGTGCGGCGGTGCTAACGGGCGGTGGGTAGGCTAGTTTTCCTCCCTTCAATACGTTAGGCAGTTTTAGTTGCGTCGTGGAGCCGTGAAAATGGATCGTTGTGGTGAGCATGATGACTCTGGCTCAGTTCACGTCAACTCACGGATTGAAACAAGCAGGCCTGCCCTTCTGACGAATAAAGTTGCCAGCATTACTTCGCTGCGCCGGCAACTCCGTTCGGCAGGGTCCGGGCCTGCTTCGCCCACTGGCAACACGGGCGTTTGTCGGCCCTGCAAGTCACTTCCTATTATAGACCCAGGCTTTCAGGTGGCCCTGCAGTCCTGTGAATTTTGCTCCTTAGACATGAGGAAGGAAAGTGAAGCACCAAGAATGCAACCCACCCTTCTGTTTCGAGAAAAAAAAGACAAGCGCAGTTTTCATCTGGTATTGATTTTTGAACAGTCATAATACCGATCTTATTGCCATGGTTTTGCAGTAATTTACACTTAGCGCCGAAACGGTTGAAGATGCAGCACATTCGAGGAATCGTTTGGATTCTGACTGAACGATACCTCAGAGCGAGAACCGCTCAGTCTGCCGAGGCGTTTCGACAACCGCCCAGTCTGCCGAGGCGCTTCGACAACCGCTCAGTATAATAGGCTTTCCTGCAGCGGTTGAGCGGCTGTCTCCGCGGCTCAGCAGACTGAGCGGTTGTCGTAGCGCCTCGAGAGACTGTGCGGTTGTCGAAACGCCTCGGCACACTGAGCGGTTCTCGCTCTGAGGTATCGTGAAGAGCTAATCCAGGAAACATTTTATTAGTAAAATGACCCCGGGGCGATTTTGGAAAAGAAATGGTCATTCGAAGTACTTCATAACATACCTCACGAATGAGGTCTACTATAAAGTGCTTCGAGTAACAAGTTTTTTTCCAAAATCGCCAAGGGGTGATTTTATCAATTGAAATGTACCCTGGATTACCAAGTAAGTCTGTGCGCACCTGATGACCACAGTTAGGCACCCCTTGCAAGTTTGTTTGTTGTGTCCCACCCTGCCTTTTGATGTTTACACTTAAGTGTCAAAACATACCCCATCCATTCTTGTCAGTGTATTTGAATTGATGTTCTGTAGGGTGTTCGCTCGGAAACTGGGCATATTGTTTGTTCGGACAACTTGCAGGCCACAGTTTTCTGACTGAAGTGCGGCAAGTGCACAAGCGAACACACCACAGTCAGTGGTATTATCGAGGGTATTATGCTGAACGTCTTCTACCTGCAAAGAAATATGAGCAATTAAATGTGATACATAAGGGAAATTAGTGGATAAGATTAATAAAGATATAATCAACTTAAAATCACATCACACAAAACTCCAGGCAGTGTCCATTAGAAGATAGTTCAGAAGCCTCTGAGAAAAAGTGCCAAATACACTCGAATCATGCCGATGGCTTGGCTTGAACAACTTAAATTATCGACTCCTTTACCTGCGCCTTAACCAGCACTCCAGATAAATGGGCATGAGCTGTGTGTTGAAAGCGAGGTTGAAAGAGAACAAATCATCCTGTAACAAAATATTACATTGAAGATAAAAGTTAGAGCCAAACCAAAATATAACATAATATATTATTTCATTCTTTGTCCACTTCTGAGC